TTGGAGGCCAATTCACAGGTCCAAAACGTGAAATTAGGCGGTCAAGAAGTACGGACGAATGATTCCAGCAGCCCATAAAGCGCACCAAACAGTCAGTTTTTCTGGATATAACGGTGTTTCGACATACACTTGAGGATTAGCTTCGCTTTTGACGTAACCATTCAACCAGAAGTGCGCTTCATCGTTAAACAAAATTCGTTTGTGAAAATCGGGAACAACGGCAATCTCGTTTTGGGCCCATTCGACGAGCCTTACTTGATGAATTCATGATGAATTGCCAAACTAAACTGAGAATAAATCACTTGACAGCTAATAAATCGGTCGCCATCTTGAACAGTAATGCCAACTTAAAGTTCTATACATCGAAAACAAGACCCATTATATACAGCTTGCATCGCTTAGATGGGTTCATGTGGAACATCTACACTCAGTTTTTGAATTTGAATGTAAAGGTAATAACTACACATGTTATGTAACCATTTATAATCCTGCTGGAGGACCTTTCAAATATTTTCCCTCTGCTTATGCTTTAAAACACCATGCTCCCTCAAATCATCTTTAATTCGCCAAATACAAAATATCCACTCAATATATTTAAATGCCCCCTTCCCCGAGAAATCCATCCAAAATTAAATAATTAAGATTCCCTTATAGGAAACATTTTAAGTCCTACAAATGTCATTTTTAATATAAAATTCAAAAGTCGTCAAAAACGGGTTGACTTACATATATGCAGTCTCTGCACGGTTCTATCTAAAATAAGAAATCTGATATTTCTAGATAAAACTAAGCAACACTTTTCTGTTTAACTTTTTTTTTCTGTCGTCCGTAGATTCTGAGTTAAGGGGGTAGAACACACAAGCGGTATCATAATTCTCGATTTTTGCCAATTTCACTACACATGCAACATATCTCGTTAGATTTGGAATGTATCACCTGTGGTCATGGTATGAAGCTTAAATAGTCATCGTCTACTTCGTCATCGTCGCTATGCTTCGGACAAATCCTCAAATCCTACTCTAATTAGTTATCAGATGGCTCTTTATTTTTTGTTCGCTTTTAAGATTTTTTCTGTTTTTTGTTTCTTCATCTTGTTTCTGCAGTTTTATTTTTGAGTGCTTTTTCTATTTTAGGTTATTGCTAATTTTTCCTCGACAGGTATGCTTGTACGTATTGTCGAACATTGTTTTTTTCGATTATTCATTTGAACTTTTTTGGTCAGCTTTTGATTCCGTTAGTTATTGCTTGTGTTTAAACTTTTCGACGAAATAAGGATCGTTAAGATTGAACGCTGTTTCCAAAACAAGAACAGACCTAATCCCTTAGGTTGGTTGCACTGTTAAATGACAAAACATTCAAAAATAACATCGAAATACTATGTATAAGTTGGTTAGTTATTTATCAATCTAAAGTCAGTATGCTTCGTACAGCACTTCATGAATTTATTGTCAGTGTAGGGCTAGTAGGAATGTGTTCGAATTTTTCTGCGACCGAGTTCCGTCATTTTGGTATAAAATATTCCCGTATTCTAGCCCCGCATTTACGCATAAGGTGGTATAATTTATTGTGTGGATTTACTTTGTACTCAACTGCATCGTCGGGTTGTATACGTTTGCCGTGAAAGCTCGCTTAAAATAGAGATATACGTCAGGCCTGGGGGAAGGTTGTAATGAAAAGCCGTAGATGTGAGTCATATTTTAAACCGAACTTTGCAAACTAAACCGGAAAATATGCATTAACCGTCAGGGAGGGTAAAAACTTCGGCATCTATCCGGGACGCTGTAGTGCTTTGGCAGATAAACTACCTGTGAGCACTGTAAAAAGATGAAGTGCGGGCCGAGACTGCGGAAAGAAAAGAATTATATTAGCATTTAAGATTTATAATGAATTGAATGAAATGCCAAAGTTTAAGAAAACAATTTAAAAATATTACTTATGCCTACTCGGTATCTGTCTACAATTATACAGGGTGTTAATGAAGTACTTGTGTTAATTTTAAATGATTATTATTTGACTAATATTTAGATAGAATGTCCATATGAAGATGGGTCCGCAGCGGATTGATTCTTCATATACAGGGCTTCCAAAAATCTACTTTATTATTTACCATATTTATAGTCTCGTTTGGACAAGATTTTTAAAGTAATAACTAATGCCTAGCGTTAGGCGCGTCATTAAAGCAGGGCTATAGTCGCTTAGGTAGATTTTCACAATCTATTCAAAAGGTAGTTCTACTTACTTATTATCTAATTAAATAATTATTTTCTCCCCATGCCACTGGTGATGTAAATTTGCGACCGCAGGTAGCACTTCCTGGTATCGCAGCCATTAGGCCAAAACTACTTACGAAATCATATACAAATTTGCCCGTAGTATTTAAGTACGCTAATAGATCCCCACGATATTATTCCCAACTTTTTCGCGAAGTTAACTTATTTATAGGCAACAATCACCTGGCTGGATATTGCAATACACCGTTGTATCATTTCTGTTCAAAGCGCGGTTTAAAAATAGGTTTGGAAGTAAAAGTGTTTAGGCGATCAGCGAGGCTGTGACGTTTTGCCAAAGCATTTTGTTTTCGATCAGATAGGCGGAGATTCCGTTTTTGAACACGGATGATTTTGGGTGCGTGATTTAAATCGTAACAGTTGAAAGTTTCAGATGACGGTGAGTTTTGGTTTTCAAAAAAATTTGGTTAGTTTTGTAAATAATGGGAAAGTGGGTTTTCATTGTTAGGAAAGAGAATTAGCCATGCTTTGGAAGTTAGAAATAATGTTTCACGTACTGGTGGTGTCAGTGGGGTTTTGATGTGAGTAAATTTGAATAAGGTGGTTTTTGTACATACCGCAATATCAAAAATATTTTTTCCATAAACCTCAATAAATCACAAGGATATATTTTGCGTACTGCATGTAAATTATATGATATGCAAAAGTATTTTAAGTATGTGATCCTCGATGGAACAAAATCTCAACAAATCATTTAAATCCTTTAAATGTTAACAATAATTAACATTTTTCAAAGTATGACAAATTTACACCACCTTATTTTATTTATTACTTACAATGAGTAAAAAATCATTATTTGACTGTAAAACTGTAAAAAAGATCACCACATCTTAAAAGTATTCTGTGGGCGTAGTATTGTACATGTATTGTCATGTAAAATCATTATTTGACTGTAAAACTGTAAAAAAGATCACTACATCTTTAAAGTATTCTGTAGGCGTAGGATTGTACATGTATTGATTGTCAAGGTCCCGACAGTATCAGGTAGGCGGATGGGTAGTTGACCTACGCGTACCTTAGTGTTTAAGGTCACCAAAGAGAAGTACAGCAAAAGAAATCAAATAATACACTATTTTTAATTAGAGAAACAGAATTACTTATCTTGGACAAAATAATGCCTAAAAAGGAAAAGGTAGATTTTATTTCTACGACTACGACATTTAACAGCAATTAAATGATTTCGAATGAAAAACAGGATTATCTATTGACGAAATTTGGGTAAATAAAGGATATGCCGTTGGTAAAGCGTGTCATGTTTCAAAAAACTGCCTAGTTCCGAATTATTTCTGTTGACTGCAACGAGTATAATTCGTCTGACTACTGGGAACATGATGACCAAAACTTACAAAAGATGAAAAATAGTAGATTTTCTTAACTAATATTATTTATTACAAATTTTATTACTCTCTCGCGTTAAAAAATATAGTATAGTATTGATTCGGCTTGGACTTTTCGTGGTTGCAAGACTATTCAATTTTCATGTGAGAATTCACAATTTTATTTAATTATAATAATACTAATATTAATTAATTATGAATATAAAAACCATGGGTACTATTTACAAATCTTTGTAGATTTGTAAATATATAATTATTTTTACAAAATGAACTAAAAATTATCAACATGTGTGAGTTCGCTTCATTAATTTAAATAGCTACAGCGAAAATTTTTACAGGAAAGGGGAAAGGATCTTAAAAGAGAAAAAAGTGGATCATATTTTTTGGTTACATTAATAAAGAAATACAATTAAATCTATCATTGGCCTTCTAATGCTCGATCCCCTAGTTTTGCATCCTGTTTATATTTGCCGTGATTTCACGAGCTGTAAATGTAGTGTTTATTTAAGAATGATCAAAAAATGTTATCATCATTTTACCATAAAAGGAAGTAAAACAGGATTTGTATCTCTATATATATATATATATATATATATATATATATATATATATATATATATATATATATATATATATATATATATATATATATATATATATATATATATATATATATATATATATATATACATAAATGGTTTATATATTTAGTTTTTTTGTATATATTCTACTTCACATTATACAAAATAGAAAATTCGGAATAAGTAACTTCCTTACGTATAATTGGATGATAGTTTGTAAATATTAAATCAAAAAGTAAAAAACTCTTCTTAAACAAAATTTCGTGACTCAGTAATAATTCCTGGTTTAAGTAGCATTTCCCCCACCCCACAGGATTCAAAGTAAGCTTTTAAGGTAACACAAAAATAATAACACAAAGATAGTCCTTTGTTCGAAAATAATTCCTGGAAAACATTTTAAAATTTCTACAAATGCATTTTCCAGCACGAAAACATTTTAAAGTCTAATATCGAATATCTACTTGACCTTTCGTATTCGTAAAATGCATAGGGAGCTACTGATTAATATTTTAGAAGCAGTCCTTTCATTGAAGCAGTGGCGTTACGTTTCCATTTTCCGAAATAAGTTTTTTGTTATGTATTCTCCCATGAATAACAAACAATTAATAAGAACAATCGTGATGAAAATACAAATCTAAGAGTCTGTCGTATACAATAATTGCTTTCACGGCACAGAACGTCAATAAGAAATATTGAAAACATTTTATTTTCTACTGGAAGAAGAAACTCGGAACTAGGAAAAATATGCACTTTTGACTAGTTTCCGTTACCTTGGAAACCATTTTTATTTGCAGAGAATAATTTACATGCCATGTCCGACGAGCGGATTGACTTATAGAGTTTTTCCAACTGCGCCATACGTTCGCAACAAAATTTATAAACCTCTAGGTTTGTATTGCGACTATTATGAACCCATAAGATCTCTATACTGGAATAGTTCTTACTGGCCTCTATATAGGTCGGTAAGTTCTTTTGAGGAAGAGTTACCAAGCCACAAAGGTCAGCGTCTTCAACGGGTGAGTGTGCCAAAAATTTCAAATAAATCGCAATATCGCAACAAACACTGCAATAATGTTATCAGGAGTATAACATTTTTTTGAGAAACTCTTCGCTATCTAACACAATGTGTAGTAAGTTTAACGACACTATTGGGTTTTTATAAATGGATAGAGCCTTTCTGGGTCATTTATTGTTCTGAACAAAATTCGGTGGCTATTTCTCCACGTGGAGAGGTAAATTTTTAATTAAACGATCGCCTAGAACCTCAAACCAAATATTTACTTCAAACCTGTCTACGAAGGCTCCCTATCTCATTAAATTTAAATTGTTCCTAGCAACTTTAATAAAGATGCTATATATAGTCTTTTAAAGTTTGGTAGATATGATTACAATGTTAAAGAACCGCAAGTTCATGATAATCATCTAACAAATCACTGCCATCATTTCGTTTTTGATCGCCTTGGTCTTAAGTCGTATAATAACATTTTCTAAACCTGTTCCCCCCCTTAATTGAAATAATTCGCTCACATAAAAGAATAAAATATGATCTTAGTAAATTGACGTTGTTGTTTCCTGATTTTCAGATATTCGATGACGAAACAAGGCTTATTCGGGCTCAAACCGCGTCGTTATTACGTAGAATTCACGATCCAGTTCCGCGAGTGACGAGATTGAGTTGGCCTCTGTCAACGGTTAGCAGGTAAAGTCAGTGAGCATTTTGGGTGTGGGTCTGGGATGGCTTCTCCAAACCCGACAAAATTTATACGATTAATTAAATCCCTCCTCAATGACATTTTGCGTAGGGGAAATCGAATTCATGAATTTAAACTGACGGCGAATATTCGGATTTTCCAAGGCTTTACGTAGACTAGATCATATGCTTCTTATACCGACATTCTATAGAATGGGTTTTTCTGATTCACTTGTAAATTTTTATGAATGACATGTCTCTAATCGCAGTGAATATGTTAACGACTCCCAATCTTTTCTTTTTAACATTTTTTTAATATATCAGTTCATATCAACTATTTGTTGTATCCGGATGTTGTTAAGTTGGTTGTGGAAAATTGGTTATCAATGCAAACGAATTTGGGGCGAATTAACTTTCAGTGCAAAAATAATAAACCTCAAATGTCATTCAATGAAAGAATAGAACCGATTCATTATAACTGTAGTCTAGGCAGAGAGAATATTGCACGGTCTGATACTTTTAAAGACTTAGGAGGAATAAAAAGTTTAATAATTTAGTAATTTTGCGGCACATTACAAATCTATCGTAATGGATTTGTGTTGTACTGAGCTCCACTGAAGAGTTTAACCAGATCATAGCTGCAAAAACGTTATACAATATTTATACAATTTCTGGTGTAGGTGTTAATTTCACAGAATTAAAAAAGCAGGGGGGATAATTTTCAACTGTTATTCTTGTATGAGCTACTTTACTATAGAAACTTGAATTTAAGATAGCGTGCTTAAATTCTCCAGTTGAGATCGTTTTGTACCTGCTCATACTGACGTTCTGGCGTTCTCTCCTTTGCATGCAATGTGTGATAAGTACAATAATTTAAGTAACCTTGATGTCTTTTAGGATAGCCTCAAATGCTTCAGGAAAAACTAATTTTCTTTTTTGTTTGCTTGTTAACTTTTTTAACTTACTTGGCTTTCGTAACTGTGTAGGATTTGTGTTTAATGTATCCTTACTTCTTTTTTTTCAGCTTTATTGACTTGTAATTAGGTTTTACCTGTTGGGCAGTTTTGTAAAGTAATAACTATATAAACAAATAAATTAAAATTCTTAAAACCGACAGCCAAATGTAAATAACATTAAGTAAAAAAATAGCAAATACATTAACAATAACATTTATAAAAATAAGGTATAGAGTAATAAATTATATTACAGAGACTTAATATTTCAGCAAAGTCAGCAATAAGAACCAATTAATTTCTATTATAGGAAAAGCAACGTGCTTGGTATTTTATTCAAAAAAAGGAAAAAAAAGCAGGAATTATTTTCTTATAACGATAAATAATAACAAGGATTGAAAAAGTACACCAAGATTAAGTGCAATGCAATAATTGTTCGTTAAAAATGAAACTTCTTATTCGGATAACATTTACATAATGGATTATTGGCTTTAAATTATTTTTGGAACTGTGAACCAAGTAATGCACAAAATAATTAAAATAAAAATCGAAGAGATTTTGAGTTACTATTTATAAATCTTTGTTTCTTACCTGCTTATATACTGTTTGAGGGGGTAAGAGCTAAAACTAAAGGAGGGACATGAACATTGTCTGGGTAGTAGAATTGATGACATGACACTTCATTCAAGAGATGGCCATATTTTTCTAGAAGGTGTAAAACAATAAAGGGAATATTAACAATTTTAACTGGTCAGAAAACGGTTGCCTCCCAAATCATTTGTGGCTTAGCTGTAAAAGACTTATGCATCTACCATCAAGATACAACGCAAAAACCTTTTGAACAATGGCCTGTTTTCTACTTAGTATTACTGAGAATCCCGATTTACTATTGGAAAATGCAAGCTGTCACTGTCCTCAACTACAAAATGTTCCATGGTCAAATAATACAAAGCTGGAAATTGAGAACTACATGACAGCAAACGATATATCTTTGAAATTATAAAAAAGTGAGCATTTAGTTTAAAATTTTAAAAGTTTCTTCTTCTGCCATTGAATTCTTGTTTGTTTGTCCTCATATTAGTCAAGTGACGACGAGAGTCTTTCATACTCGCATATGTTTGCTAACCTGAAGTTCTCCATACGTTCTAGTATTCGTTATTCGTGCATTCCCTGTTAATTTTATGACATCTTGGACATTTCTTATGCTCTCATTAGTTTTTCTATCTCCCAGCGTAATTCTGAATGTGTATCATAATACCTTCATTTCTCTTTTTCGTTCCCTGTATTATTCTTCGTGTATCGGTTCGGGTTTCACTGGCGCATGTGAATACTGCTGTTTTAGATATTTTTATTTCGCTTTCCTTGTTTTGCCATATTGTTGATCTCAGGCTTCCAAATATTTTTATCGGTTTGTCTAGCAAGCTTCTTACTTCCTTGCTTAAATTCTTAATCTTGATGGGACCTAAGAAATTGAAACCCATTACTTGCTCTATCATATTTAGATCCAGCTCCCGTGTACATTCAATAGGATCTCTAAATATCACAATAAATTTTGTTTTATTAGCTGAGATTTCCATATTATATATTTTTGATGTTAAAAGTTTGTAAAATTATTTGTTAGCAAATGTAATGTTATTATTTTGCCTTCATTCCTATAGAACACATGTGGCACCAACTAAAATTAGAGTAGGCCAAGAAATTCTTGCTCGAGTAAGAACGGCAAAGATAGTTTTTTTCCACTCAATAGGCCACAACCATTTATTTTTGAAAACACTACTCCAATTATGGTTCAAATGATTTAAATTCTGGACTTAAGGGAGTTAATATGAAGAAACAAGAACAAGGAACTCGATTTTGAGAATTAATGCTGCTACTGCTTGTCTGGTCTTCAGTAAATAAAACGTCACTTGACCATTCAGTTAGGGATATCGGATAGCATTGAAACTATATGAAGGATTTTTTGAGAATGCTTATTGCTTGAGATAATTAATGACTCCACTTTTACGACTGTGAACTTTAGCTCTAATTATAATCATTAAGGATATACTGATCTAAAATTAAATTTATAATTGTACAACTTGCTATAGTTTTTAAAAATAAAAATAATTGTAAGGCTTCCAAAAAACGCCTCCCTTTGATATTAAAAAAACCGTTTCATTTGTATACTATTACATCCAGTAAAAATGTCTTCTCGTAAGCGAGTGATTGTGTATCTTCTTTTTTGACGTCGATAAATTGAACGTAAACTTTTAATTTTTTTCGCCCTAAACTTTATAACTTGGACGTCCGATAAAGTTTTAGTTCCTCCTACAGTTCCAGCTTTTGGTTTTACGAGCGTGCACGTGGCACCGATTTACGATGAATAACTGAGAATGAAATAACTTCCGTAATGAAGAATTGGGGACCGAAGTGTTGCATTCTCGCTTGAAATTGCCGGCAGTTAGTAATTTAAACTTTGTAATTTATCTATAGAAATTTGACATCGTTTTAATCCTGAAAATTAAATTTGTAAAGTTTATTATTAGGCCCTTTCCCGATAATATTCGAGAAATCTTTGTTTACAAATTTCAATAGATTCTCGGAATTTTCTTTGCTAGGAGAATTCATTACATGCTAGAACTTTAGTTCGGTCGAATAGGATTTGATGTCGTGTCTGGAGTTTTGTCTTTCAGGGATAGAACATGCTGATAGGTTTTTGAACAAGCGGTAAATCTAGTATTTATATTATATTTATTAAAACCTTTTGATATGTGATCAAAAATGTCTTGAGTGAAGGAAGCATCACAGTGATAAGTGGGGGCTTGCTTACGGACTTGGGAGGTTGTGGTGAAGTGTGTTTTGGAACGGAATGAATCTCTAATGTAAACATTAATTCAGAAAAAAGCAGATGTTAGCTGTTTTAATTCTGAGATCAGAGATAGTTTTACGGCTCTGTAAAGAAGAGAGTTGATAACGGATGATTTTTGGTGTGCTCAGGTTTTCTGTAAACTTAGCAACCCAATGTTAGCTGTGATTTTTATTAATAAGAATATCTAAGAATAGGAGATTCATATTCTTCAATTCATTCTAATTCTATAATTGGGTGTATAGAGCTTAAATAATCAACAAAATCTCGGAGAGACCAAATAAATATCATCAACAAAGTGTTTCTATAATTTTGGTTAGCGATGAAAGTGATGAACAAATTGAAAATTAAATTTAATGGTAAATCAGTGACTTTCAAACGTTTTCTTATGCAAATCTTAAAAGAATTTTACTTTTTAATTTTTTTTTTATATTCCTGGTAATTGCATAACCCATCAATTATATAAGCATCTGAAATTATTCCCGGTTTGCTTTGAGTTCCGCAAAATTACTGTTAGGAAAGTCTAACCGAATTTCCAAATGATTTTTAATTTCTTCTTTTTCTTTATTTTAAACAGCCGCTTGGTAACTACCGGTTCCGCTGATAAAGCTGAAAAAGATTTTCGCTCGTTTAAAACTTCATTTGAAAGTTTTGTTCTCGGCACGGGAATTTACATTTTAAAGGCGCTTAGATCGGAATAGGTGAGAAATTTATTTAACAATTACATAAAACGCCTTGTACAATATTCCAAGTGGCGATACTTAACATAAATTCTCTACCTTAAAGTTAGATAAATCTATATCACATCGTTCGGAATACGGAATAATCAGTAGTTAAGATTTTTCTTATAAACAGGACGCCATCGGACAAGACCCTTATTAGAGTGATTTTTTAAATCAAATCCGACCAAAATTATTTTAAGTACTTTTAGTAAAAAAATATTTTTTTCTAAAAAAATATTTACATGTTAATTTTGTTAAAGCAAATTCCGCAGGTTATTTTAATACTATTCACAGATCTTCTGGATTCCTCCTGCGCCAATTCTTAACCATTTAAACTCTGTACACGCTGACATACATTTTACCGTTGAATTAGAGACTAACAAAGTTCTCATATATTCTTATTAATATAAAATAAGACCTAACATTCGGACATTCGTTTTACAGAAAATCTACGCACATAGACCGAAACTTTAATGCATTGTTACATCACTATCATTTTACCAAATGTCTTGTTTAATTTAAAAGAAATATTTTTAAAAAATTCCACTACAACAACCCCATACTTATCATTGTGGTCCCCTTCATTACATTTAAAACATTACTTGCCACATAGCAAAAATTCTTTAGAAATATAATGTTAAAACTACCACTTGTCCAAAAATATCTCAACATTTTCTAGACAATATTCACTTTTGAGACTCCAGAAGTTTACAGCATATCATGCATATGCAGATTCATTAGAGAAGCGGTACAACTGGAGTAAAAGAACATGAATGAGCCTTAAGAGAGCCTTGCATATAATCAATTCTTTTACCCAAAACTGTAGTAATCGCGACTCAGGTCTTAACCTTTCACCAATATGAGAATCAGCTTTAGCTCCGCCACCCGTAAAATATTATATATGCAGGTACAGAGTAGAATGAAAACTAGTATAAGTAAAGCTCCGAAGAAGTTAATAGGATAATTGGCGAAACGCCAGGGAATTCGATGCAGCAACAACCGACGCAGGACAAATCCAGACGATTAGTAACTAGTTTGTACGAAAATATGGCAAGTCGAGACACATATTCATAGGGCATTTTTTTTTATTTTTACGGAAAATAAATGATCCGATGATTGTTCGGAGTTTAATATTTATGCACAACCATGCCGAATCAATATTCATTACCAAAATAAATAAGAACTAAAAGTTCAGATTTTCACAAAATTATATATTTTGATATCTGTCAAAATTTCGTGAAAATCTGAACTTTTAGTTCTTATTTATTTTGATAAATGGATTTTCATCAAGTAAAAGCCACCTCAGTTCAATATTCATTACCCAGAAGTACGAAAGGCGCCAGTAAAGTTAGAAAAAATGTATTGTGGTAAAAGTAATGTAAATAATTTTAATTCTTTAGCGAAAGATTTTGCTTGCTTTTTTTTTGCAAAAATTCGAAGAAGTGCTATAGTTTACTCTAATTACAATTGGATTTAGAGACGATATGGATTTAGTTAATTAATTTTTCTTTTTTTTTTCAGGCATTACGATGGAGGTTTGCCCTCGCGATTTAGTAGCGATAACTACATTCATAAAATTTTAACAACTTCGCCACTTAACGACAGAGTTCAGTATACTACTTATTATACTGAACCTGTACGTAAATATATTGGTAAGTACACCGAGTGCAATTGGCTTCATGCAAAAGCAGACGCATTATAAATCAAAGGTTCTTTTATTCTGAGGCCAATCCTAAACTCTTATTATTATCTTGTTTCTTTTTTAAGATTTCTTATACTGGTACAATCACCGTTTGGCAACTTGTGTCAATACTGCTAGTTTTTAAGGGAATTTGCAAATTTTCCATCAAAACACAAATTAACTGTTAAGCCAGGCTTAGGAAAACTTTCAGTTCTTTACTTTCTATTTCAAGATTTTTGTGAAAATGTAGAAAAAATATTTTGTGATATAAGAGTGAAAAAATCTAATTGAAGAAAAATTGGTTTTAATTTTATTTCAAACTTATGTGGCGGCAAACAGCCTCTAAAATCCGCCTAGCTAAGAGAAACTACCCGAAAACCAAATGGCTATTAATATCAAAATCAAAATTAGAACTTATGTGTCGTGTATGGTGAAGATTTGATGTATTTCGCGGAATTTGAAATATATACTGCTACTGCTAATCTACCGTGAAATTAAAAAAATCACCCCTGCTCCCTTGAAACGTACATCTATGCCATAACCGTAACTAATTATCCTCAACAAGATATGGAGCAACCCACATACCGAAAATGATCAAGATTGTTCTAGAAACAACTCATTTGTATCCTCATTTGGTTATCCTGTCTGTTTTAATGTCACAAAGTTTTAAAAAGTGGTAAAAATGGTAAATTTAGGACCGATTTTAAGCCAAATAGTAATATGTAAAAAGTGAGAAACGAGTGGAATAAAAACATTTTCATTATACTAATTGATAATTATATCTGATAACCATCTACAACTAAAAATTAAGAATTTTATGGCACAATTGTGTTCAGGATAACCAAAAAACACTCTTTAAAAAAACAACAGACACTAATTTTTGTTTTCGTGACCTATCCTTTAAATTAGTTAACCTTTGTTTTTCAAAATGCCACAACTTTTTTGATGCCTTCAAAGTATTTAGGATATATTCCGTTTATTTTGCCCTGTTGCCAAGCGGTGCTCTGGTTTATCGTTCGCGATGATATAGCGGAAAGCCAATGAAAAATTTTCAAATAAATCTGGCCAAAAGAAACCATCACTTTTTGAATTGCCAAAATGCATTAACGCTTATCGCTTCTACTTCGCTCCAAGTATTTTGGTCCAAATATTTTAGGGGAATATTTATTAATCAAGAATAAGTTTGATTTTGATAATTTTAAAGAGAAAATCGGTATTTAAATAATTCACTTATTCATTTCAGTGGCATCGTAGAGAGTGATTGATATTTATAGGAAAAATTATGGTACGCTACGGATTCTTTAAATATTAAATATTTTTTTTAGATCAAGTAATCAAAAATGAAACTTTTTTGTTCCTACAGTTTTTTTAAAGGTACCTTTGTCTTCAAGATAAAAATAAAAACCTGACCTTCGTGTCCCCGACCTTTCCGAAATATTTAAAAACGTTTTCATAAAACATAGAGCTTCCTATTTGTCCTTTAATTTATAATTTTTTAAAGTAAACCGTTTTGTAATTAATATTAATTCATTTTTTTTAAACGAAACTAGAACAGAAAAGAGTAAAAAGACAAAACAAATTTTGTTACTAAAAACATATGGATACACTGATTTGATCATTCCCACAGGCGCCACTAAAATGAACAGTTTTATTTTACTTATACAGCATAACAACTCCAATGTACGCATACCAAATTTTGACAAACTCTGCTATGAACTTTGACATCCTGTATCTCGTTTATATTGCAATTAATATTGAAATTGGAATTAATATTGAAATATCATGTATCATAAGAAACTCTCAGGCTTCTTATTTTAGTAAGTATACATATAGTAAAGGGAAATGACGCCAGACTCGTAAATTATGGGCCCGAATTGTTATAAGATGGGGTCCTTCTCCCAGGGTTATACTTTTCGCGAAAATTTCTTCCGCCACTTTTCATCGTGTCGTCGCAGTTTTTGACAAAAGTAGGCCAAGGGAGGCACTCACAAACTTCATGTATTATTAAGCAACATATGTAGTTGAATGTGAAATCGTCGGTCTCGCGATGCCGTTTGAATTTCATCGACCGAATTAAACGGAATATTTTAAACGGCAATGGAAAACAGTTCCCGGAACAACCAAAAGAACCCTAATTTCCTTTCGACAAATGATCCGGGAAACGAACAACCGCAAATGAGTATGAGAAAAGTAATAATGCTACTACTAAAGAAGTAGAAAAAGAGAAAAGAACAATATACAAAAACAAATAAACAACATTGTCTAAACAAGCTATATCTGAAACCTTTAACAAATAATTTAGCGAAATAAAGCAATTGACAATCTACAAAATATCTCGGAAGAAAATTCCATGTTATTACATGGAATAACTGTAAATGAAACAAATCAAACAATTAATAAGATCAGAATTTTTAAAAGAACATATATACAATCTTTTAATCCACATAACAAATTTGTGTTTTGAATGGGAAATTTTCTCTGATATTATAAAAGTCGCATCAGTGACACCATTGTACAAGGGTAACTCTTCAAAAACCATAAACCAGTATCTTATTTCAAATATAGTCGAGATCATTGTCAATATCGACAATAGGCTAGTCACGTTTTTTATAAAATTCTCTGCTCTTTCTGGCAAACAATATGGCTTTCAAGAGAAAAGATCGACGAAAGAGGATCTTTTGAGACTACTACTATACTTCTACTTTTATATAAAAACCATCCATCTCTTTGCATATTTGTTGATTTCTTGAAAGCCCTTGGTAAAGTTACAACTGTTATTGAAAAAACTAAAATTTCATGGTATTGGAGGTGTTCCTTTACAAGTTAATATCAAGTTTGCTGAATAACAGAAAACAGTTACTTCATGTAAATTGTATATGGAGCAAATATCAAAATTTAAACTGTGGCCTGGAACCACTTTTACTTGTTTTATATATTAACAGTGTTTTGAAATTAAATATCTTTGGAGAATAGTCAGTTACTCAAATGGCATGGCTATATTTTATGCTGCTGCTTCTTCGTTAACCTGGATTTTGGTGGAGACCTTGGTACATCGGTTGAAATAGAATAGCAATGCGTGCTAAAGAAATTATTCAATGTCAAAAGTTAAAATTTTAGATTTTTTGTTGATTTTTTCTCGATAACAGGATTATTTAATTTTTAATTTAATTGTAATGCTGAAAACACTTAGGCGGTGGACAAAAAGTCGAAATATCATTTTTACCTGTGGGTCAGTACCAATTCTAACAAAATATCGTATGCAGTTTTAATGAAAATGATACACCATTTTTTTAATATTACAATTTTTTTAATAAAAGTTTTCGTTTCCGAGAAAAAACTAAAGATCCAAAACTGACCATCTTATTGCCTTCTTAGCAAAACGTTTGGTTCTCTTGGAATTTTTGTTACATGCATAACTGTTTTCATATCTAATTTGACCGAATTATAAAAGCAAATATATTCTATATACTACAAATATAAAGTTACTATATGTGAATTGTAGTTATCAATATTTGAAAAATTACTCCCATCAGAAAGCCACAAAAAAAATTCAGCAATTATTTAAGCGTAGATTGGTGTAAGCGAAAATCGATCACGCATCAAGGATCCAAACAACGCTGTTCGGTGGAAACCACAATCTCTAACTACATTAGTTTAAAAGGGGCCGATTAATTGGAGTTTGCTTTGCATTTTCTTTTCTCTGCAAATTTGAAAAAGTTTGCTTAGGCCTATCCTTTTCAGATATTGGCAGTTAGCATGGCTATTTTTTTTTTTCGTTTTTCCATACGATGATGTAAGAGCAACTGTAGAAAACCCAAATATTTTAATTTTTCAATGTGTCAGCAGTTTCACTACTCTGGTACCCAGGAGATTTTAAATTGAAGTTTTTTCATGGATATTCTAAACAGAATCTAAAATTATGCTCCGTAAAAGAGTGTGAAATACGTAACATCTTAGAGTAATCTTATTAAAGTCAGTTTTAGATGGAGATTTTTGTATATGGTATACATTCTAAAGAGGTCAGCTTTGGCTTTCCCTATTTTATGCTTTATCTCGATGGAGTGATCCCGTTGGTTTTTGAGGTTGATTTTCAGATTCATGTAACTGTTGCTCTTTACTAATTAGCGTCTGCTATTCGTGAGACCAAAGCCTGGAGATTTTGCAAGCTGTCAGCAAAAACGATAGTATCTGTATATCTGATTTATTCAGGCGTTCCCCGTTCAGAACGATGGCTCGTTGAGGTCACCTGAACCACGTCCACAATATGCTCTGTCCACATGTCCCTGTCTTACTCCTCTTTATTAAAATAACAGTTCTGTTACCTGTTGTACTATCGTTTGATTATAATAGATAATATTAGTTATGCGGAGATCTTGGTCGTATATGTATATCTTCCTCAAAAGGTCCATGAATTTGTTGTGCTTATCTCTATCGAAGATCTTCTGCTGGAACACATTTTTGATAAATACTTGTATATATTCTCTTCAGGAAAGCATCTAAAAGATGCCTCATTACAATTTTGGTTCTCTGGTCATCGCATATTTTTGGGTGTAGGATTTCATGTAGATAAATAAAAGTTGATCTGAGCCACCGTTGTGTGATTCTAGCGGTGTTGTAGATATAATTGTAAGTGTATAAATGTAAGGTTTATATTAACTGGTATTATTATTTTAGGAATGATCATATTGGATCGTCATCCCACCGCAGACTTTTTATTCTCCCACTGCAAAACAAAAAAGCGCCATATGTAGAAAAACTAAATAAAAACAGATGTTTTTCAAAAACATGCGAATTATTTTGTATGTTCCACTGTCGTGTTTTAGATATCCCAGGAAAATATCGCAAAATATTTGGTGTGCTTTTTATGCCTTTGAATTCCAAAAATTTAATACATTTTCAAATTAACTTCCGCAGACTTGTAGGTGAACCCTTGCATGTAAATAAAAAAATATTTGTATAACATAACAACTGTAGAAAATGTAACACACAGTAACATCGACGATATGCCAAAATATGCTACGCCACCATTTCCGAGACTGCCTATCAATATCATAGCAAAATTTCAAGATGTCAGCAGGATCGACGCAACTCAGCCAACGTCTGTCTATATTCCTTTGCTGGCTGGGAACAATACCGTTATTTCAGATTTTCATCTTTTTGCTTGACAACAGATGGCACGTGTGGATATATCGGTTAACGTTAAAAGTCACCATGCGAAAAACCGAAAACTAGGTGGTTTATTAGTAAAATCAATGCGAGAGTATTTCCCAGAGGTACACTATACTATATACAACTTAGTGTGTAATAGGCCATAACGGCGTGCACACTCAAGCGGGACTAATTCCAATTTCAAAATAGTTTTCGCTTGTTGCCTTGTAATGTATGACTGTACTAGTAGGGTATGAATTATTAACAAAATATCCAAAGCAAGTCTCAATGAACTTTAGGAAAAATTGTTTTTGGTTTTTATTTTATATAAAATATTATTATGATAAAAATGCATTTTTGCTAAAACTTTTAACTCCTAGCTCAAACATTTTAGCTGTCTACGACATACCTTCATTTCATTTGAAAATCACCCCTTAAGTAAAGGCATTAAATTTAAATAAACAGCAGATGATGAGTTTGGGCGTAACTGGAACTATTTTTGAACTTCTAGAACGTATACTTAAATATCGCCATATTAACGCATGCAGCAGATTAATCCGCTAAACGCTTTTTGGATCTTTCGAATACGATAGCGCTCAGCATTTCGCTGGACTTCGCGGAGTGTGACTAAATTAAACCTTAGGCGCCGGACACCTAGCAGCTGTGTCGTATGCAGGAGAAAGGGCTTATAACCGAAGACCCTATGTTTATCTGTACGAAAATCCCCTACATAGCGACATACAACTTTTGAGTTATTACATCAACAAGTTTAAACAGGAAAAAGCTATTAACCCGCCAGACTCTTCAAAAGGTAATTATATTATTATATTAATCTCTATAGATAATCATGATTTAACCTCGAAGTGAAAATTTGTCAAAATTTTATTTCACGAAAAGAGACATTTTATCAATAAGATAGACAAACAGTAATGTGCTTTTTAAAAATTGTGGATTTTTTTTTTCGTTTGTTAAACTGTATAAATGTGATCGTACTGCAGGCCATTTTTATGAAATCTCAATTGAAAACAACCAAAAATAGTACCTTAATGGATTTATGGACGCTCAGATTGAAGAGTAAAATCTATTGAAAACTTGTCTTTGATTTTTCTTAATCTACAACTTAAATAGTTAATAGGATTTGTTAATTGCAAACAATTTATTAATGATCGAGTTACCCATCATACACAATTTTAAATGGCAAAATTGGGGAAAAAATATCAGCTACGGAGTAAATTGATGTTTTTCGATTGAATGTAAAAAAAAGCAATAAACATAAATATTTTTTATTTTCCTTTTAAATATCAATAGGCATCCTAAATAAGAAATTAGCACCTTATTTGGTAAATTTGAGATAATTAGACGTTAATAACCACCTGTAAAGTAAAAATTTTCCCAAAATTATTTTAACATTTTAGGTTAGGATATACATATTAAGATTTGGTTTTCACTGGGTTTTTGAGCCCTTACTGTCTCACTACATTAATAACTTTGCATTTATTGTTTTTTCATAAAATTATTTTTTTGCGAAAGTGTCAGAAAAATCCACATGGTGGCGGAGTAACCAATCACAATTGTGTAACTTATTGCACTATTGATAGCTTAGGAAAAGCTTCTGTTAACGACTTCAGGTTTATTTAAATGCGTTAATTTTTTTGGGAGACGTGATATTTTTTTAATAAAATATTCACACACCCTCACCACTTTCCTTGAAGAGATAAAGCAATTACCATTAACAAAAAAAAACATTTTTTCATTTTTTTAAAACAGTACGCACTTTAATTATTGTCTTACAAAATTTCACTTCGAAGTTCAGTTTATTTATTAACATTGTCCTTGTAAATATGTAAAAAAATGTGTATTTCAACCGTCTGTCGTATTCGTATCCGGCTAAAGCCAAAGACTTAAAAGACATAATTTACCTGTGGCAAACTCACAGAGGCATTGTTCAATCGAAGCTGACTCCAAAGAAAAAATTAAACAGGCATGACTCTCAATATAGCTTTCAAGGTTCAATTCATGTATCAAGCAGACCTGAGCAGATAACTATTCAGTGGGAGCTGAAAATATGTCATCAATTCAAGTTGACATTAAGAAATTAGGCAACATACAATACTATGCATACAGATTTAGTAGTGGTCATGCAGCAATGAATGAGCACTATCACCAGGTACCTCAAAGCCGAAAGTCACTATTTAGGTGGATTAAAAGGAATTTTCGTAAGAAAATATGTACTTGATTACAGAAAATTATGAAAATCATTAAAAAACGTTTTAAGGCAAGCGGAGACCAATATATGTAATCACAGTATCACAGTTAGCTAAATGTTGAAAACAAGTTTCTTCATTTCGCAGGGGCAGTATTAGCCTCCGCATTGGATAATGTTACAAGGCCTTTCAGATTAAATTACGGCCTTTATAGGTCAGAGCTTGTCAGGTTCCGCTTTGACCTCGATCGGGCCTCGCTTATTTTCGCCTTATTTTTTATGTGGCAATATTTGAAAGGTCCAACTTTCGATATAAATTTAAAACTGAGATCCTTATACATTTTCATTCGTGTGATTAACGAGGAAAGGAAATACATATTTTTTTATATTTTATATAATGTAGATTAAGTACGTGTCAGTTCATTATGCTTCGCTGTTCACGATGTCTAATTTTTCTTCCCATTTGTTGAAATATTTATAGAACTGCTATTTTGAGATGTCAAATATCTGTCAAACCAAAACTTTAAGCATGACGTAGTGTTTTACGTAGAGTACGGTGGTGTACTTATAATCGAACCTCCCCATATATTTTTGTATATTATGATTTCTCCCAGTTATGTTTAAATGAAATCGTAATTGTTTTTTAATTTTAATGCGACGGTACCAAGTTTCGTCAAAACATTTAAAAAAAAAATGGTGTCCATCCGTACTTTTTCTAATATCTAATATGCGTAAATATTTTAGGCAAATAACTAGAAGAGTTAATTAAATTACCAATGTTGGTGTCCCAAAATCTTTTCGTAGTAACAAATCATACATAGTAAGGTAGTAACAAAAACGTATTTTTAAGTAAGCCGGGTATTAAATCGATTATTTAAATTTAAAGTATACCAACATAATGGAAAAAAATGAATCCATAGGTAACAAAAGAGGCCAATAGGTATTACCTAAAAACCATATAGCTATTAGATAATATATTACCCCTACTACGCTAAAAATTGATGTGCCTCTAAACAACGATTTATCAAGAACATGTTTTGAGAAAATAACTATCGTAAAAACGCCGCATCTAAACTTATTGATGATGTGTCAGCATCCATGTTGGTCATTGAATTAGGGCATTCAATGGTTAACTGGTTAATATTGGTTAAAAACGAGATTTTAAATTTCGCTCACGCTCATGTTGATTGCTGCTTCTCAAAAAAATTGTCTTAGTTGCTTTATAAGTTCTTGTGTTATCGGCATTAAGCAAGGTTCTATATCTCTAGTAGCTATATGGCTAAAACCGATAAAGCAGTTAGATACAAGGTGTTCAAATAGGGTATCATATAAACATTTCAGAGAGGAAGCATAAAATGCAAAAATATGTAAGGTGTTTGGGATTTAAATTTTAGAAAATGTGTCAAAAATTATTTGATCCAAACTATACGTAAAGCATCTACAAGATTTCTAGACAGTTTCTTTATATCAAAAGTACACAAACGCGACAATTTTATTTGTATCTCTGTTGTCAAAAAGGGACCTTCAAATAAATTACTGATATAAGTTACAAAACTGGACATCCCTGATAGATTTTTAAAAGCTACGCAAAAAATAACATGGGTTCTAGAAATCACCGACCTCGTTTTTCAGTTGATTTATTTTTCATCTCGTCCGGCCATAACATGTCACATCAAAGTCTCCTCCCGTTGCCACTTTCGTTTACAACCTTTTCGCCTCTTTAGACAAATTTAATCGGAAAGCTGCCGAATCAAGGGCGGAATTCAATTTTGTTTGCTTTGAGATGGATCGATTTCATCACACTCGAAAGCGAGTATAAAGGGATTGCAATTTAGGCTACAGTGACTTTATAAAACGAAGCCTTTATCATGTTGGTGTGATGCCAATTTTTTTTTAAAGACTGCCTGAAAAATTGACTGCCCTTTCATTATTCTAGTTCTTTGAAATTCACATTTAATTATATTTTCTACTATGATACAGCATCTCATTGTCAAACCATAAATCCAATTTCAGATTTGTAGCTAAAATGGTTGAAAAGTAGTAATCATTTCCATGATCGCAAAAATTTCTAAAATATATTTTCTCTCAACGAAAGAACTTTGTAAAAGCTACAATATATATGTTGCATAGAATTTTTTATGTAAGACAAAAATATAATAATGGAGGCATGATTTTAAATTAAAACAACCATTACCCCTTATTTTGTTTAAATTTACTTTTGAAATTCAATTTCGTTCAAAATAATTACTATTGTATTCTTTTAAAATTTGGGACCAATAAATTTCTTTTTAATAAAGATCGCCTGAAAGGTTTTTGTTTTCGCCTTGAATTTTTCCTTATCTTGTAACCGCTGCAATTTCATCTCTCTTAATATTTTATGATCTCATTTTCACATTGGAATCTTTGGAATAAAAGAGACAAACTGGTTAATATTTAAGCAGTATTGAAAGATTTAAGCTCAAACCTACTGTCAAAAAGACAAAAATCAAACGCTCTATGACTTATTTGAATTGATTAAATTTTTTTTCTGCTTTTTTCTTAAAATTTTTTAATAAAATGTTTCGTTTCCAAACTACGAATTTGAAATATAGATTTTGATGAGGCTTCATTGGGAGCGCGCCACTGTTCTATACACCTCTTTCTATCTCATTAGCGACCTGTTCGGAAATTAAGTCAGCTCTGCAAGCGCCGCAAAGCAAAAAAATGAAACTTTACAAAGCCTTTTTCGTGCCTGTTGCGGCTTTTATTATTCTTGTAATTGGACTCATTAAAGCAAGTTTTTGAGGCTTATTAGAATATACGCTTATTTCGATTTCGCTTTTATTTTAAATTTGCGAAAATAAAATAAAAAGGCGAGAAGGATGAAAACAAATATGGCGACATGTTCCTTTCCTCGAATATCATCCGACGTTTATTCCATGACTTTGATCTGTATCTAACACGCGTGTATTGATGTGGTTGGTTTTCTTTACTTGCAGCTGACAAAAAGGTAGACGAAGACAAGCCAGAAATAACTGAGATAACCGAATCCGCTGAATAATCCTTGTATTCTTCCCGCTATACGTTTATTTTGCCCCACCCCTTTTCTCTACTATGCGCCTTACACGTCTTTAGAGTAAGTCATTTTTATGTGCACGGATCAATTTTATTTTTAATGTTGTAACGTTTTGTTTTATGCTCCGGCAATTTATACGGTGTGCCTTCAAAAAAAAATATTCGAAAACTGTGTTCTGTGACATCGCAATGTGTTCAATAAAATAATATTTTCCTACGTCTTGTTTTATTTTAATTTAGGATTAAAACGCGCGCACAAAATACAAAACAATCGACAAAGAAAAAACTTTTCGGGTGTTTGGAAAATTTTGTGCCATTGTGATAGTGCTTAACCAGCGCTACCATGATATATGGTTCATCATAGAGTTTTTCTAATACACGATAACAATAGGATACCTCTTTATTGGCTTATGAAGTTTGGAGGAAGCAAAGAAAGATGTCATGTGCTTCTGAAATTACTACACTCAGAGAAAAAATGTTGTAAAATTGAAAAAAGCCCTAACGATTTAATCAAAATTGAATATGATTTTGAGTCATTGGTGCTTCAATGTGAT